TGTTTAACGTACCTCCGTGGGAAATATCGGAGGTAGGCTATATCGTGCTGGTTTGGACAATGGACAAACATAGATTTGAAGACAGGGTCCGTGTGGCGAACGTGTGGCGCGAGAAGAAGAAGCGAACTGTGTCGCTCGATGCAGATTGTTCAAGTGCGAACAAAAAGGGGTTAATAAATATCTAGCAGTTAGTCAATCTGCACCCTGTGACGAACACACCATTGGCTAGATGGTGTGGGTCGGTGGATAGGCTAGAGATGAACTACGAAATAAATTATCATAAATGAAGGGCGAAGGTTAGGATTTTGAAATGACAATATAGAAGTTCGATAATTGATTAATCAATAATTCTCTATAAAGGTCCTGAGCTGGTATAAAGTTAACAAAGTTGTAAGAATGAGAGGGGCATTAAGGGGAAGATAGATAAGAGTCACCAAGGGTTGGTTGTAAGCAAGGCTCACGTGGTGGTTGGAATTCTTCGACGCCTGAATTACAGGGTGAATTTTGAATCGATTAGGGAAAGAAATTATTTTTCGTGAGCCGTGCTTACAAGTAGGAGAGGTCTATACAAAGGTTTAGGTGCTGGAGGCATATTTTTATAAATAAATTGATTATGTAAAATATATTGTTAATAGTAAAAATCGTAAAGCATTAATAGGTAGAATTCCAATTTTTTTTTTTTTAAGAGTTTTTTTTTTTTTAAGAGTTACGTTAAAAATGGAAATTATTTAATTAAAATAACGATTGTTAAATTCTACTGGTAAGGTAACTAATTAAATGAGTTACAAATATCTAGATAAATAGTATGGAGCATAAAATCATTGTTGATAGGCATGGAGAGAATAAATGGAGCTAATTATGTAAATATTGGGACAATTTACAAGGAATGACTTATTTAAAGAATGAATGGAAGGGGTAAAACAATTTCACTTACAGGTTATTGCTGGTTTAGAGAGCAGGTAAGTTCATTGAGATTCGGGAGAGTTCTGTCTGTGACACTGAGCGTACCAGTGTTGTACATCACAGTAGCGGCAGGGATATGGCGGAGTCTTGTCCATGATGGAGGAAGGTGTCCTGCCCTGGCACGGTGGTCGTTCTTGGGTAGATCTAGTGCTGGAAGAAGTGTGTGGCAGCTCCATCTCCGTCGTAGGTGAATAGTTCTTCGGGATCACGGTTCAAAGGTTGGCGAAGAAGGGGTTGAGGGCTCGAAGAGGAGTGGTTACAGTTGAGTTGGGTTTGGCCGATCATCGTGGCTTGGCTTCTTGTTTCTTCATACTCCGGTATATGAGGGATTTGCTTCACGGCCAGGTCTTATCCTGTCGACTTTTCAATGTGGCAATATAGTGGTGAATGTGGTGAGGAGAGAAATAATCACACGACGAGTTGTTAGAGCAATCATCCAGGCAGCCAGCCGAGAGAGAGCGAGCGAGACGTTATCTGCTGAACGACTGTTTTCCCTGTGTACACAACCGGGGGCTAACCAGGATAGTCGCCAGGTGGTGACGCCCCCCTCAGGAATGTGGCCAAAAAATGGTCGTTAGTTGTCTAAAGTGTCTCGCTTTAGCGGCCCATTTCTCTCTCGTTGGCTGTTGGTTTGTTTTATTAATCCTGGAAGAGCATATATTATGACATATATATGTGGTAACCGAGGGTCAAACCTGTAGTAACCGAGAGGGACAGTCAGGGCATGGTGAGTTTTCCAGTACCTCTCTGCACTTTGGAAGACCTTTAACAGTTTTCACAGAGTACAGGCAGTCGTGGTCAAGGCAGAGTAGAAAGCTTGGGAATGTCCACACACACAAAACGAAGAGACACAGCTGTAGTAGGAAAGTTCCATGAACAGATAGGAGCCGAGTTAAGAGCAAGATGGAGTTAGCGGAGATCTTACTGTTTCACATGAAGATGAGGTGGTTCTGGGTACAACCGACGAGGACCGCGCCGACGGTGAAAGGGGTGACTGCTGACTAACTCCGTACTAACTGCGGACGGCTAAAACCGAGGTGTTTATATACCATTCCCGAGGAGGGGGGTTGGAGATGTCTGAGAATGTGAACTTTGAACGTCTGCACCCTTTGACCTTGATGGCAACGACTCGCTAAATTCCTATTTAGGGTTGTCTCGAATTTAGACGTTTTTGAACTTCTCAATCTTGCTTTAACTTAGCTCTTAATCTATTACATAGTTTTATTTATTTATCTTTAGTTTGTACAAAGTACATTACATATGGCGATGCAATATAGTTGTGTTTCTATATACAACATGACAATCTTGTTATAAGTAATTATACAATATAGGGTTGTTGGTTTAAATTACCATATATATATATATATAGTCAAAAAAAGGCATATCCTAACTATGCTAACATGAGCTTTTTAGATGGCAGAGCGCCATCTAGTAGAACAGAAATCAACTAAACGTTGATTTAACCTGTTTCCTGATATTTGACCAACCCATTTTCTTGATAAATCAAGAAAAGCCATCCACGAACGTGTTTCGCGCTGTTGGCGCTCGTCAGCGTGGAGCAGGCTGTACCATTGAGACCAAGGGCCAGGTGCCTACCAGAGGCTTCCTGAAAAACCAAGAAATGGGTATTTAAGGCCAAACTTGCGTTAATACGTTTAACACATGAGAAAACAATAGAAAAAATAAAAGGTTCAGGTGTTGATTTTAAAAATACTGAAGGCATATCCTGAACAAATCTTGAACACATGTGCTTTTTTTCAGGATATGCTTTCATTATTTTTAATATATATATATATGTGTTTATATATAAATTTGGTAACGAAGGCATCGAGAAATAGTCTTAGCAGCGGTAAAAATTCCGTAATTCTTGGATGTCTTAGAGCTCGGAAATGTAATTAACTAACGTTTATCCTAACTAATTAATGGGACTAACTAATTGCTGTGAAGTATTATTTAATAATTAAGTGGAGGATAGAGAGCTCTGTAATAAATAAGGACACAAGAACGGCCTCTTGAGATGCCATCTGATTTGCATAATCGGGATGGTTGTGAAATTAATGAAAGCCTGGCCGTTTAATTACATACTCCCATATTTCCATATTGACGCACGCACTGATTGGCCCCGTTAATATACCCCAGTCATATTGTCGGACTATTAGCCATATATGCAAATACATTTCAAGTTGCATATACAGCCTCGAACTGTCTATATTAAAGTTTCAAAACTTATTAGGGCCACCGCGACTACTTTAAAGGACATGAGTTTTGTATCGATTCACTATTGCAACTGTTTCCTCTGTTCAAACCGATTGATGGTTTTGATGTAAATACAAAATTTTAATTATTTAAGAATTCCTTTTTAAAAGAACCATATGCACTCATGGACAAAGGTAGCGTGCAAAAGGTTGTTCTTCAGCCAACTGAAATATTAATATAATTAAATTATTATTTTTTTAACAATTTAATATATAATCCTTTTTATAACACTATGGACAACTTGAGTAAGTGGAAAGTGTTTGATATCGCCGGTCGTATATATTTTTAAGGAGACGAAGCAGTTCACACTATGGCTATCTCGTGTGTCTTCAATAAAGGTCACTGTAATATCTTTCAGAGTTATTGTCTCAATCCCGATATACATGCTGAAAGGTACAGCATCCCTAAGTTTTCGTCCATTACTAAAAATATCCAGATATATGTTTGTTTGAACTATTTAATCGTATGAATATGTAAATTGAAAAAGGGATAAACTGGGTAGTACACAAATTCCAGGTGTACGTAGTATAGACAATGATACCCATGTTGCATAATGCCGACTGCTTTTACTGTAAGTGTTCCACATGTCTACGCATGTAGAAATCAGTTCGACATTTACATTCACAAATATGCCAGAACTCTCTTTTGGTTACTTGTATTCTCATTGGCGAGGTTAAATTTTTGCAATAATCGGGGTTTTTGATGAATTTTTATTTCTACATAAAAAAAAGTAGTCCAATGCGGGATTCGAACCCGTGTCCTTGTTGTATAAAACCAACGGTTGTTACCACTATTCCATTGACCCCACTCGAGCTTCAACTGAGAAGTGGAAGTTAAGTCTGTGTGTGTGGTTGATGATTACAGATGACCCTCATACTGCCGTCAGAGATCTCTGAAATATGTAAGTACAGTATTTCAAATTCTTTGTCATCTTTTTTTTTTTTAATCCTAATAACCATTAATATTGTCTCCACACTTTGAATTAAAACTTGATTCATTGAATATATTCACTCATGGACCAAACATAAGGAAGTCTAAAGTCTTTGATGTCACTGGTCGTCTTTGTTTTTTTTTTTTTAGGAGACAGAGGAAATTTTGTTCACGCTTGGTTATCTCGTGCATCTTCAATAAAGTTTACTGTAATATATTTCAGAGTTATTGTCTGAATCCTGATATACATGATGAAAGGTACAACTTCCTTAAGTTTTGTCCATGAGTGCAATTTCATTTTTTCCTGTCGTATTATAAACACTCCGTAGATATGCAAATTTTCATACAAAATATCACTTAAAAAAAAATATATATATAAAAATATTCCCTTGATCAGATTTTTTATGGTGTTTATGTTTGAGATATACAGCGCACACTGCTAGTGTATATTAGCTTTCATATTTTCTCTAGGACATTTTTTTATTTACTGCTCATTATTGCTACTTCATTGTCTCCAATGGCGCCCCAACATGGGGATAGCGTATTTAACCCCGAACATTGTAATATGTAAATAGGTATATACAGTTAAATCTGTCTATAGCGCCCCCTCTAAATAGCGCCTTACTCTCTATAGCGCTCGATTTTAAACCTTAAAATGTAAACATTTTACATTAAAAGTGACCTGTCTATAGCACCCTATTTTGGTGAGTCCCAAGAGGGGGCGCTATAGACAGGTTTAACTGTATTAAAATATACAAGTATCAGAGTCATCAATAATCAACAATCAATTATTCTGTCACCGTTTGCTTTTGTGAATGGAATAAATACCCAAATATGGCCATTTCTTATAAGCATCGGTGGTTCCGTGGCGAGAATGCTCGACTGCCACGCGGGCGGCCCGGGTTCGATTCTCGGCCGATGCAATTTTTTTTTTACAATTTTTGAAACTCATTTATATTATTACTAGACGAAAATGGCCCGGGCAACGCCCGGGTTTTACCCGAGTGCGTATATATTTTTAAAACGTTTTAATTCAAATACTATTCGTTACAATTATAAATTGGCGGCATGGATGTCACTCTTGTGAAACGTCCCGTTCCAAACTGTGTGTTTTTAAAATGTTTTAATTAAAATACTATTCGTTACAATTATAAATTGGCGCCGTGGATGTCTCTCTTGTGAAACGTCCCGCCCCAAACTGTGTGTTTCTTGAAAATATAAAAATAAAGATGTGAATTTTCATAAAGATTTCATCATGTCGATTTTTTTTTTTGCATTTATATATTAACTTTATGAACGGAAAAATATGTCCAGGGTAGCCTAGTGGTCATGGCATCTGCCTGGTAAGCGGAAGGTCGTGGGTTCGATTCCCATCCCTTGACACTTTTTTTATTTTATCCATTCTGACCAAAATCTATCCGTGAACTTCACACAGTGAACTTCACACAGACAGAATAAGGCAATTATATAAGTAGATAGACAATAATAATAAAATATTATTATCATTAGATAATGATAATGATCATAATGATGATGCGCGCGTTGATGACCAAAGTTGATACCCGATTAAATGCTTTTATTCAAATATTATAAATTGGCGCCGTAGATGTCATTCTTGTATAATATATAAATGAGTTTTAAAAATTGTAAAAAAAAAAATGCATCGGCCGGGAATCGAACCCGGGCCGCCAGCGTGGCAGGCGAGCATTCTACCACTGAACCACCGATGGTTATGAAAATTTCCATCCGTGAGCTTCAGACATACAGACAAACAGACAGAATAAGGCAAATATATAAGTAGATTATCAAAATATACAAGTATCAGAGTCATCAATTTTGTCATCGTTTGCTTTTGTGAATGGAATGCTTTTATGTAACATACGTAAAATACGCGACTAATATGACTGAAATTTCAGCAGTATGTATAATAGAATCTGGAAAAACTTATATTGAATTTTTCAGGTCTCTATCCCGAATATTCTTCGAGTTATTTGCAAATTTGAGTTGCAAATTTTCTCTTTCGCCCGCAAGCAGCGCCTCTAGCGGTGAAGATGGGAGGTAATATTAGCTGACCTAATGTACATGTAAAACGTGTTTTAACAGGACATAGAAAAAATATGGAAGAGATATTTGTCGCATTTTTAGCCAAGAAAAATTGAAATTGACAGGTTCTGGGCAAAAATAGTTGGTTTTTTTTAGTCAGAAAACGATTATGACAATATTGCTGTATCATATTTGAATATCAGATACAAAATTATATCCGGAAAAATTCCAAAAAGCAGAGACCACGGATGAAGCCAGTTCATTTTTAGTATGAAGGAACAAAATTCTAACAGAAAAACATTCATTCGAGCAGAAGACACAAAGCCAGATCATCTCTTTATAAATATATCGCTTCTCAGACACAAAGTTTGGAGCGGGACGTTTCACAAGAGTGACATCCACGGCGCCAATTTATAATGGTAAAGAATAGTATTTAAATAAAAACAATTAATCGGGTGAAACCCGGGCGTTGCCCGGGTCATTCGGCTAGTTCTATATATAGAAAACATAAAATATTACATAGCTTAACACTACACCATCCATACTGATCAACAAAATACTACGCACACTTATATTGTATAGCTAAATACCAAACAGCAAAATACTACACAAGCTTATATTGTCACACAGAAAGACACATTTTTCAAACGTTTCCAAAGTTTGAAGAAAATATTGCAAAGGTATAACAACATTTGAAAATTATCCCGCCTGTGTCTTTTTTTAACGAAAAATCGAAATTTATTTTAAGGAGTACCAACGATTATTTCCAACCTTAGGGATGAAGTATGAAAGGATGAATTGTGAAGAGTAATGATAAACGAAAAAAAAAGTGTCCATGGATGGGAATCGAACCCACAGTGTTCCACTTACCGGGCAGATGCCATGTCCACTAGGCTACCCTGGACAAGGTATATTGATGCAATAGAGTCATTTTTTGTAATACAGTATAACTACCGCCCTGTAAAGGACAGGAGTTACAGAGCCAAAATGTCCTTTAGGGAGAGGTGTCCTGTCAGAGTTGCTAAATAGTTAAAATGGTAATTTTGCAAATGAAAACTGTCCTTTATAGAGAGATGTCTTCTTACCGGAGAGTCGCTAAATAGTAAAAATGGTAATTTTGCGAATGAAAACTGTCCTTTGTTTAGAGGTGTCCTCTTACCGGAGAGTGCTAAATAGTAAAAATGAAAATTTTGCGAATGAAAACTGTACTTTGTTTAGAGGTGTCCTCTTACCGGAGTGTTGCTAAATAGTAAAAATGGTAATTTTGCAAATGAAAACTGTCTTTTGTAGAGAGGTGTCCTCTTACCGGAGAGTTGCTAAATAGTAAAAATGGTAATTTTGCAAATTAAAACTCTCCTTTGTAGAGGGGTGTCCTCTTACCAGAGAGTTGCTAAATAGTAAAAATGGTAATTTTGCAAATGAAAACTGTCCTTTGTTGAGAGGTGTCCTCTTACCGGAGAGTTGATAAATAGTAAAAATGGTAATTTTGCAAATTAAAACTGTCCTTTGTTGAGAGGTGTCCTCTTACCGGAGAGTTGATAAATAGTAAAAATGGTAATTTTGCAAATTAAAACTGTCCTTGTAGAGAGGTGTACTCTTACCAGTTAGTTGCTAAATAGTAAAAATTGTAATTCTGCAAATGAAAACTGTCCTATTGTAGAAAGGTGTCCTCTTACCGGAGGGTTGCTAAATAGTAAAAATGGTAATTTTGCAAATGAAAACTATCTTTTGTTGAGAGGTGTCCTCTAACGGGGTGTCTGCTAAAGGGAGGTTCTACTCTACTATTGTACAATATTATTTTATATTTTGTAATAAATAAAGTTATATAGCTTTAGTGCAGGGACTTTTCGATCCTACTTTGTATATCTCCCCGAAGAGTAAAATACTTCTATTGTATCAATTGATTTAAATCAATACAACAACAACAAAAAGGCTTTTATTAGAGCCCATTACCCTGTATGGATTCGCCATACAACAACAAAACAATAGAGCAATTCCTCTACCTTTCCCCATGTGCACGTGAGCCTTTGTTTGAAAAGGGGATTTATTTACACATCTGTTCTAAAACTTTCCTCACTACCTCTTTTATGTATGAATCTATTTACAATTGATCTGTAGAAATTATAAGAGTTCTATTGCTATATTTTTATTTTCTGAAATAGTTCTCAGCGTCTTCAGTGGTTTTCTAAATCTCCAGAAGAAGTTTTTAAGAGTGATTCTAGGTTCAACCTTTTTCTGATTGGGTAGATATGTAACTTCAATGTGAGACAGCTAGGGGTGTCTAGATTGATATAATGGTTTGTTATTGACAACATGCTTCTAAATCTCCAAAATGTGTTTTTAAGAGTTTTTTTTCTCTTTCTTCACCTAAATATTTGTATTCTATGATATAGTGGGAGATTTCATCAGATATTTCCACAAATCCTGCAGTGAATATTTTCCTTTTTGATGATGAGAATAATTGATTTAAATCTCGTAGATATCAATCAAATAATACAACACAGGTTTCTGTTTCTTTTTATTAACATAATTTCAAGATTTCAGGCACCTCTGTCCTTCTGCAGAAGTACATAAGTATCGAACAGCGTTTATTATTATTCATTTTGACGTGACAACGTCTTAAATTAGGTTGCGGCTGGGAGTCACTTATGAAAAAGTGTAACGCCCGGTAACGTTACGATGAGTCACCGAACGAGAGTGCTGCGCGCGCAGCGCTAGAGAATTAGGCGCATTGAATCGGCGCATGCTTGTCTCTGTCTTTGTCTTTCTCGAACGTTCTTGGCGTTGGAAAAACACGAAAGCGTCATAATACAAGTTCACACGTGTGGTTAAAGTATCGTCAGCTGTGTCTGTAGTGAAAATGTGGAGTGCTTAGATTCGTCATTTACAACAACTACAACAATAAAGGTAAATAATTGTACACTGATATTTCATTATCGTAAACTATGATTGATTGATTAATTGTTAGATTGACACAAAAGTTGAGAAACTGAGTTTATAGGTTATGTCATACTATTGATAAATGTTGATAGTGTTAAGTAAATTATTAGTTTAAAATTAATTAATTAATTAATTATTATTTTACAAATTTTAAATAGTTTCAAATTTATTTAGCAAAAATTTGAACCTTCGATCTGAATAAATGTTTTGATTTTCGAATTGATTATTTAAAATTACAAATATTAAGAAAAAGTGGCAGATATAAGAAAACTTTATTTAAACTGTGTTGAGCAAGAATTTTAACATCTAATATAAGTAAATGTTTTAATTTTCAACTTCATCATTTACAATTACAAATTTTATTTAATTTCAAATTTATTTAGCAAAAATATGAACCTTCGATCTGAATAAGTGTTTTGATTTTCAAATTGATTCTTTAAAATTAAAAATTCATCCATTCAATTTCAAATGTTCAACAGGAATCACCACTCTCAAAACAATGGAAACGGTGCCTTCAACTTCCAGTACTTCAATGGAGACGGAGGATATCGTGCCGTCAACGTCTGCAGTACCTTTCATAACAGAAAAGGACTCTCCATTGGTTTTCAAACATGGCCGAGATGGAAACGACTCACAGACTACTCGAGATATTCGCAATGAATACTTACGACTTCGTCGACACACTCTAGACACAATTACCAAACAAGCCGTAAAATTCTGTGACGACGCAACCGACGCTGGACAACTTATTGTAACGAACATCAACTGTCAAAGTTTAAGTGCCCATGCCGCGGACATTGAAACAGATACAGTGATACCACGATCAGACTATTTAGTATTGACTGAAACGTGGATGCGCGACACTTGTGAACCAACTCCAATCAAGGGTTATGAGTGCGTATCCAGGGAAAATAATCGACCTAACTCAGATACCAACGCG